CGAGACGTCACCAGTGGGGTCCCGCAGGGTTCAGTCCTTGGACCCATACTGTTCCTTATATATGTAAATGATCTTCCAGATGGTATAGAATCATTCCTCTCATTGTTTGCTGATGATGCAAAAATTATGAGGAGGATTAGGACGGAGGAAGACAGTACAAGATGACCTAGATAGACTGCATGAGTGGTCCAACAAATGGCTACTAAAGTTCAACCCAAGTAAATGTAAGGTAATGAAACTAGGCAGTGGAAACAGGAGGCCAGACATAGGATACAGAATGGGAGATGAAGTCCTTCATGAAACGGACAGAGAGAAGGATCTAGGAGTTGATATCACACCAACCCTGTTTCCTGAAGCCCATATCAAAAGAATACCATCTGCGGCGTATGCGAGGCTGGCTAACATCAGAACAGCCTTCAGGAACCTGTGTAAGGAATCATTCAGCACCTTTTATACCACAAATGTAAGATCAATCCTAGAGTACACGACATCATACGAGTATTCTAGTATCACGACAATAGAAGGCAGAAGAGTAAGGTGAGACATGATCACTACCTACAAAATTCTCAGAGGAATTCACAGGGTTAGATAAAGGTAAACTGTTTAACACGGGTGGTACGCGAACAAGGGGGCACAGGTGGAAACTGAGTACCCAAATGAGCCACAGGGACGTTAGGACGTTAGAAAGAATTTTTTCAGTGTCAGAGTAGTTAACAGATGGTGCATTAGGAAGTGATGTGGTGGAGGCTGACTCCATACACAGTTTCAAATGTAGATATGAGTCCAGTAGGCTCAGTATATGTAGATTCCTGAGCCCAGTAGGCTCAGGAATCTGTACATCAGTTGATTGACAGTTGAGAGGCGGGACCAAAGAGCCAGAGCTCAACCCCCCCGCAAGCACAATTAAGTGAGTTCACACATACACACACACACACACACACACACACACACACACACACACACACACACACACACACACACACAAAAAAAAAAAACCAGGTATGATAGGGAAATGGGACAGGAGTCATTGCTGTAAACAACCGATGCTCGAAAGGCGGGATCCAAGAGTCAATGCTCGATCCTGCAAGCACATATAGGTGAGTACATATAGGTGAGTACACACACACACACACACACACACACACACACACACACACACACACACACACACACACACACACACACACACACACACACACACACACACACACACACACACACACACACACACACACACACACACACACACACACACACACACACACACACACACACCACACACACACACACACACACACACACACAGGTGATTGGTTGGAGGATCTAATCCAGGGGATTAAAAGTGAGGTATTTCAGCAAATACAGGACGGTAGAGAGGCAGAAACAAGAACTTATGCTCTATGTTCAGGAAGAGATTAGGAAGGGAAGAGAGACTGGGAGAGGGAATGTGCTCGTATCACAAACGAATTAGGAAGGTTTAGCAGCACTAAGGATAGAGTGGGATTAGTGGGAGATGGGTTAGTGACTGCGGTTGGATGGGGAATCCCCAGGGACAGGCTACCAGCATGACAATGAATTCCTGAGGAGACTATTATAATACTGGATTATTCGAATCTAGGGCACCAACAAGACAAGAGAGAATAGAAACGAAATTACGAATTGCACGAGATATTGAGGTGTATTGGAGCAGAGATGGCCAGAACGCGAGGTGGATATCAATCGACGGGGTTGACCTTACAATTGTACCAAGAAGAGACCTTTCTGGTGCAATTCTCCAATGAGAGGCAGTGGAGTACATAATGAGGAGCAAGCATTACTCAGAGGAAGTGAAACCCACAATGTGTTTATAGAGAGGTTATGACGAAAGATGAGCAAACAGCCCACAAAAATAGATGGCAACAACGACAACGTACTAACCTCCCAGGTAATCTCACAGGTCACATCCCAGGTCACCTCCCAGGTCACCTCCGGTCACCTCCCAGGTCGCACAACTCACACATCCCCCCTGCCTCACACACACACACAACACACACAACACACACACATGCCCTCCCCAAACCCACACACACACACACACTACTCCTCCCACACACACACACACACACACACCTCCAGCCCACACACACACACACACCCCAAAACACACATTCCCCCCACACACACATGCTCCATTCTCACACCACACCTCTCAACCACACACACTCTACAACCCCCCATGCTATTCAGACACACCATTATGCCCTTCTTACCCCCCTAGACACCCCACACAGGCACTCCCAGGCACCCCCCTAGCACCCCCCCACTCGCCCCCACAGCCCCCACAGCCCCACTTGCCCCCCAGACACCCCCCAGTTCCCCCCAGACCCCTGGTGAAAGGGGGAACTCTGACACCCGAGTTTCCAAGAAGAGTCTCAAGTTTGGTACACCAATGCTGATGGGGTAGCCAATAAAGCAGAAGAGATAAAAAAGAGTTAGTGAGGCAGACCCAGACATAGTGCAATAGTGGAAACTAAAATAAATGGCATGATCTCGGATGCAATCTTTCCAGAGGGGTACCAGGTGATAAGAAAGAAAGGACACAGAGACAGGGAGGTGGAGTGGCACTACTAATAAAGCGGAAATGGAAGTTTGATGAGCTGAAAATCCGGGTACCAATGAAAGCACAAGCTTCATACATGGAACCCTGACAGTGGATGGGAAGAAGATTGTAATCTTGATACTCTACAATCCCCCACCAAACAGTAGAAGGCCCACACACACACACACACACACACACACACCTAAATCACACACACACACACACCACATGTGAAAGAAGATACTAGGGAAAGAGGAGGGATACACACACACACATCGAGCACACCACAGCTAGTGACACAGCCTTTGACACACTTAAAATTGTGACCACACACACACACCTGGGAGAACAGTGGGAGGAAGAACAACAGTGCAAGGTATGATGACCCAAGTCATATTGAAACAAGGAGGCTGAAGATAGATTTTTCCAACAATAAAGAAAAAAAGCAGGAGGGAATATAATAACCCATGGTTTAATAGACAGTGTCAGGAAGCAAAGGTGAGAACACACACACACACACACACACACACACAGGCTCTCAGCGTGCCTCTGGCAATGATCTTCAATGAGTCACTTATGTCGGGAGAATTGCCAGTTGCTGGAAGGAGGCAAATGTCGTACCGATTTTCAAAAAGGGGGATAGGGAGGAGGCACTTAACTACAGGTATCACTGACAAGAGTACTTGAAAGAATAATTAGGCTAAGACTTGTTGAGCACCTGGAGAGCATTGGGTTTGTAAACAAGCACCAACATGGGTTCTGGACAGGGAAATCATGCCTAACAAACCACTATGATAAGTAACAAGGATAAGGCAGGACAGAGAAGGCTGGGCAGACTGCATATTTCTTGACAAAAGGCCTTTGATACGGTACCGCACATGAGACTGCTATACAAACTTGAGACACAGGAGTAAGCACACTACACACACACACACACACACTGGGACCACACACATCATACACACACACACACACACACCACACATTCAGAAACCACACGTGAGACCCTCACTGAACACTGGAGAAGGTTCAGAGTTTGCGACGAGGCTTGTCCCAGAGCTACGAGGGATGGGATATGAAGAGCGGCTGAAGGAACTGAACCTTACGACACTAGAGAAAAGAAGGAGAGAGGAGATATGATAGGGACATATAAATACTCAGGGGAATTGACAAAGTGGAAATAGATCAAATGTTCACACGTAATAATAACAGAACGAGGGGACATGGGTGGAAACTGGAAACTCAGATGAGTCACAGAGATGTTAGGAATTTTCTTTTAGCGTGAGAGTAGTAGAAAAATGGAATGCACTTGGGGAACAGGTTGTGGAAGCAAATACTATTCATACTTTTAAAACTAGGTATGATAGGGAAATGGGACACACACACACACACACACGATCCTGCAAGCACACACACCACACACACACACCCACACACACACACACACACACACACACACACACACGAAGAGGAAAATATGACACACACACACACAGGTCATGAAAAAAAAAAAGCTGCAGACAGGTATGATAGGGAAATGGGACACACACAACCGATGCTCAGGCGGGACAAGAGTCACACAACACATATAGGTGAGTACATATTAGGTGAGTACACACACACACACACACACACACACACACACACACACACACACACACACACACACACACACACACACTACACACACACACACACACACACACACACACACACACACCACACACACACACCACACACACATATGTACAGACACAGAGGGTATAGACACACACACACACACACACACACACACACACACACACACACACACACACACACACACACACACACACACACACACACACACACACACACACACACACACACACACACACACACACACACACACACACACACACACACACACACACACACACACACACACACACACACACACACACACACACACACACACACACGAGAGGGTGTCAGGGAAATGCTGGCTACTTACATCACATCTTAATCAATTTGTTTTGGTACAAAAGTCTTTTAAAAATTCATAAACAAGCTCTTCTTATCTCTCTGTGATTTAGTTTGTTTCTGGACATTCAATACATTTAGAATTAAAGCACTTTTAATCACACTTGTGTCTTGAAGCATGTTAAGTACCTTTGTGTGGACATTGTTATACAAAGGTAATATTCTTGAACGGGAAATCGGAAAGTTCATCCTCGGCATCATAGAGATTTTCCTCGCTCTCCGAATCATTATTTTTGTTGCCTTTATTTTTCTCTCCCTCCACTAAGTTTTCTGAAGAGTTGGATTCTTCGTCCGCTTCATCAGAGTCTTCGTGGTCTCTCCACTGGTCTTCCAGGGAACTTTCAGATTCATCAGAAGTTTCCATCCGGAAGTTTTTATTTATATTATGTTTCATATTCAATTAGTCTTCATCCTTCTGGTCTGTGAAACTTTCTTTGGGAGTTTCGCCATCTTCATCAGTTTCATCGTCTTGAGCAGTTTCATCGTCATCATCAGTTTCATCGTCATCATCAGTTTCATCGTCATCGTCAGTTCTATTGTCCTCATTTTCGTCATCATCGATAGTTTCGTCTTCATCGAAAAATTCGTCATCTTCATCAGTTTCACTGTTCTCACATTCCAAGTCCTAAATGCTCCTTTGAATCTCTTCTCGAAATTATGGGTCTCCGTCACTAGACTGAGAAATATCCTTCAGGAGTTCTTGCGGGAGTGAACACTGATCGTCACCAGACTAAGCAACTTCTTCCATGAGTTTATCAAAGGGTGATAAGTATGACCCAGAAGACTGCGAAGAATTGTCATATAACGAATAATGTTTTCCTCTTTGTTGATTACAAGATTTCGGGGAATTCTCCAGGAACTTATTTTTTCCTTTCTATTGATCGCAAGATTCGAAGGAATTTTCCGAGAATTCCTCTAGAAAAGTTTCTTCCTGGAATTTAACCTAAGGAAAAGGTTTTTTCTTGTTGTAGTCATTACCTTTGTTGCTAGCGTTCGTCTCTTCAAAACTGACGTCATTTATGTTCATATATTAATTACCGTCATCAGATGATTATGCCGTGAACGGCGTTTTGAAATCATCCTGATATAATAATGGATCCAGTGCTGGGGTTTCCTATTACTCACCCTCAACCTCTTCATATAGTTGTAGCAAATGCTGCTGCATTGCCTCTGATGACTCCAGGAATGTTTTTCTGAAGTCCTTATCCAGCTTGTCCATATATGCTAAATATTTAGATTTTTTTACGGTGATTTGATAATTGTCTTGGCGGTAGAGAGGCGCAGGTTCTACTGGAGGAGGCTTCGTGTGAAGAAACTCTTCCCATTTGATTTCTTCTTCCATATGTTTAAGTAAGAAATCATTATCTTAATGTGAAATATCACCAAATATGTATTTCTTTTATTCTTTTTCTATTTAAATCCAGTGTGTGGGAGGAGAGTTACAGTAGCCAGAACAATAGCTATCGTCGGTCAAATAAGCTTGAGAGCGTGGCTAAGGTAACGCAAAGTCGGTAACTAACTCGTCATAGTTAATGTTCGTTGAATTTATTAGCCTGAACAGCATATATAAAATATTTTCTCGTGTTAACGACAATTATGGGATAGTTTTTTCTAAACAAAATTATCCACCAGATGGCAGGTTTTGTTAATGAAATGCCGCATAGAACGCTGCCAGATCCATTTGTCTTATGTCTTACAATGTCTGCCGCCAGCCATGGCTAGGCTGCTGCTGTTGTCGGACCTCAAACCGCTGCCAGAGGAAGTCTTCTAACACAGTGATGCAACTGTCATAATGTCTCACCGACGCTACACACAGTGAGGAAGACCTATACGTCTCCTCACCAATCTTTAAATACGTGTATTTAATTCCATCCTCAACAAGTGTGAACGTTTTGGGTTAGTTTTTTTTAAGTGGTCTTTTTTTACCAGAGACAATAATTTTCCGATGTTTGGAGGAAGTGTGTGTCTTGGAAAACTTGACTTAGCTGACTTTTTCTGGTGGGTTGCCACTCAGAAAATCCGCACGCTTTGGGTTCCGTTCTGAAATTTTCAAGCAACTTTTTTTTGCTGGACTTCTTCCTGAGAAATCATTTATCTTTCGTTTGTATTCGTGTTAATCTGATTGTTTGCATTATTTAGTTTTCTCTGGACTCGATGAATCATCCCGCTTTTGTTACATCATTGTACAGTTACTCATTTGACAGTCAAATGTTTTATTGTCCCAGGACTTTCCTTCTGACATTACGTCCGTTCTGTCCTGTAAAACAAACTTTTATAATATTGTCCTTGCCTTTACAACTGTATATCATAGATGCTTAATATATCTAGAATGAATCTGATTGCACTCCGACTGCTGCTCTGACTGCTAGTAGTAATGGTGGCAGAAAGTAATCGCCAGAGCTTTGCCTTTCTTATGGCATTTCTCCACCTCTGATATAAAATATTATTTGTTTTTATTTTGCTAGATAGATGGGGGGGGGGGGGGGGTGTTGCACCTGGGTCACCCAAGCCCGTGCAAGACTATCTCTCCCCTCTCCCACCTCTCTTCTATTCATCCCGCGTCTCTAATCACTCTTTCCCTATTCCCCTCTATATCCCACCTATTTCCCCTCTATCTTCCTCTATTCACCCTCTTTACCTCCAATTCCCCCTATTCTCGCCACTTGCCTTCCCTCACTCAAACATCCTGCTGAGTGTTTTTCCTAATAATTACCTGGCCCTCTCCTTCTTTCTATAGCCTCCCCCTCTCCTTTCCTCTATAGCCTCCCCCTCTCCTTCCCTCTATAGCTTCCCCTTTCCATCTTCCTGGAGAAGCGGTCTCCATGCTTGGAGACAATGATGCAGGTGGGACCGCAGCGGAGACTATACACTTGCATAACTACTTTCCTTTCCCTGAAGTCAAAGTTTGGTTGGACTCTTACACGGGTTTGGTTGACCTTTCGTACCGCAGCTCCCACTTGTTGGCCAATGTTCCGTGACTGGTGGATTCTGACGCCATGATCCGGTTCTTCGTCAGTCTGCTGCAAGGTAATTGTTCTTGTTTGGTAGCTGTGTTTACTAGTTGTGTTTTACGGGGGTTGAGCTTTGCTCTTTCGGCCCGCCTCTCAACTGTCAATCAACTGTTTACTAACTACTTTTTTTTTTCTTTTTTTTTTCCCACACCACACACACACACACACACCAGGAAGCAGCCCGTGACAGCTGACTAACTCCCAGGTACCTATTTACTGCTAGGTAACAGGGGCACTTAGGGTGAAAGAAACTTTGCCCATTTGTTTCTGCCTCGTGCGGGAATCGAACCCGCGCCACAGAATTACGAGTCCTGCGCGCTATCCACCAGGCTACGAGGTTCATTGTTATGCCCCGCATAACATTCTTGCATTTGTTGATATTAAGGAACATTTGCCAGTCTTCTGACCATTTGTGGAGTTCTTATAGATCTCTTTGTAAGATCTCAATATCATTTTCACTTCAGGAGGGAGCCGGTCGGCCGAGCGGACAGCACGCTGGACTTGTGATCCTGTGGTCCTGGGTTCTATCCCAGGCGCCGGCGAGAAATAATGGGCAGAGTTTCTTTCACCCTATGCCCCTGTTACCTAGCAGTAAAATACACCTGGGTGTTAGTCTGCTGTCACGGGTTGCTTCCTGGGGGTGGAGGCCTGGTCGAGGACCGGGCCGCGGGGACACTAAAAAGCCCCGAAATCATCTCAAGATAACCCACATTACCATAAATCTTAATGTCATCTGCAAATTTTATGACGTCGTTTATAATATTGTCATCGATGCCAATGATGTATATGAGCAAAAGAGTTGGCACCAAAATGCACCCCTGTGGTACCCCACTTACCACACTTCTCCAGTCTTATTCATTCCCATTTAACACCACTCATTCTTTCCTTTGTTTTAACCATTGTGTTATCCATTCTATTATTCAACCATATTAAAAGTAATATTAATTGACCAGACCACACACTAGAAGGTGTGGTCCTGGACCATTCTCAAGTCATTCGCATCGACTTGAGAATGGTCCAGGACGGACCGAAACGTCGTCGTCCCTTCACCTTCTAGTGTGTGGTCTGGTCAACTTTCTTTAGCCACGTTATTGTGACTCATCGCCTGCGTAATATTAATATTTATAGCAGAAATATTTACTTCAATTGTACACTATTAGTAATATAAGTAGAGATAATTTCGGTAGTAGTATTGCTCGTTTCGTTGGGGGGGACAGGAAGCCTGTGTTTATATTAACTCGTATCGAGATCCCATCAAGGTTGAACTACTGATCATCCCAACGATGTAACCCCACACAACAGTTGACTAGCTCCCGGTTACCTATTTACTTCTAGGTGAACATAACCATCAGGTGAAAGGAAACACACCCATCAATTTATGTCCCGTTCGGGTATCGAACCTGGGACCCTCAATTGAGTGGAGAACATAGTATCAGAAATAGTAACTATGTGTAAGTGTAGCTATAATGGTAGTATTACAAGTTCGAACACTAAGTAGATGAGTAGTAGTAGATAACCAGTAGAAATGGTAGTTGTAGTAGAAGTAGCAGGTAGAACCAGTTGTAATAGTAATAGAACAACTGGTAGTAATATGTCATATTATTGTTTATAAGCCCTGTAATAGTTTTTAAGTAATTTTATTACTTAAAAACAATCTTATTTTATTACTAACATTGCATTTATTACTAGAATTACAAATTATTACTAAATTATTACTATTTATTAGTATTAAAGTACTGTTTATTAATAGTAAAGTACTATTATTAGTATTAAAGTACTATTTATTAGTATTAAAGTACTGTTTATTAATAGTAAAGTACTATTATTAGTATTAAAGTACTATTTATTAGTATTAAAGTACTATTTACTAGTATTAAAGTACTATTTATTAGTATTAAAGTACTACTTAATAGTATTAAAGTACTATTTATTAGTATTAAAGTACTACTTAATAGTATTAAAGTACTATTTATTAGTATTAAAGTACAATTATTAGTATTGATACTATTTATTAGTATTAAAGTACTATTATTAGTATTAAAGTACTATTTACTAGTATTAAAGTACTATTTATTAGTATTAAAGTACAATTATTAGTATTGATACTATTTATTAGTATTAAAGTACTATTTACTAGTATTAAAGTACTATTTATTAGTATTAAATACTATTTATTAATATTAAAGCACTACTTAATAGTATTAAAGTACTATTTATTAGTATTAAGGAGGCGTTTCATAAGGAAACGTAAAGTTGTTCAATGTCAACCAATATTTTTTAACTAGTTGTATTTGAGAAGGGCTGCAATTGTTCCACGTTTCAGTACTGTAGCCTAAATAGAAAGGGAGATTTTTATTATTTATATTTTTTTCACCGAATTTTACACATTTTCAAGTGTATATTTACAACCACATTTTTCAGATATAATCTTTCTATGACACTTTTCTGACACAATAGCGTATAATAAAGGATCTGTGAAAATTGATTTTCCAAAACGTCTTTACTTTTCCTAATTCAAATAGTCAAAGTTCCCCCCAAAATTATGCAAATATATCATGTTTATTGCTAATTTATAAAATCAATAAATGAACTTAGGAAGAAATGCTCCCCTCAGATTTTAGAGACATAAACTTTACATATAAGGTGTAAGTTTCATGTAAATTGAATAAAAAATGAAAGAGATATTTGAACGTTTATGTTACTTGAAAATAAATAAGTAAAAAATAAAGTCTAAGATGTTGCCATCTGTGACTTGAGGTTGACATCAACCAATTTCCTCCGAAACTGACACCCTTACAGATAGACTTACGTACAGTCAAGTGCATAAGTTTCATGCAAATCGCCTGATAAACAAGAGAGAGAGATAAAATTAAAAAAAGGCAATTTTTAATATATTCTATTGTGATAGTTGAGAGTCATAAACATGATTTCAATTGAAACTTTTGTTTGATAATCATTTGTTACCATTTTGGAAAATTTTTGACACGTAATTCAATATTTTGTTTCTCCCTTCCTATTTATGCTACGATGCTGAGACTTGGACCAGATGAAACCTTTTTCATATACAACTTGTCAAAAAAGTTTGATTGAAATCGAACGAGTTTTCATTTATTGCATATTTTGGGCAAATTTGGAAGTAACGCCCCTTGAAAAACTATTTACTAGTATTAAAGTACTATTTATTAGTATTAAAGTACTATTTATTAGTATTAAAATAATATTTACTAGTATTAAAGTACTATTTATTTGTATTAAAGTAATATTTATTACTATTAAGGTACTATTTATTACAAAAATGATTAAAATATATTAACTTAAAAATACTTCTACTGCTAAGCAATACTAGTTAAATTACTGGGGCTAGTAGCAATGCTAATGAGACTAGCAACTCTTGTTGTGCTAGTAGCAATGTTAATGAGACTAGCAACTCTTGCTGTGCTAGTAGCAATGTTAATGGGACTAGTAACTCTTGTTGTGCTAGTAGCAATGTTAATGGGACTAGCAACTCTTGCTGTGCTAGTAGCAATGTTAATGGGACTAGCAACTATTGCTGTGCTAGTAGCAATGTTAATGGGACTAGTAACTCTTGTTGTGCTAGTAGCAATGTTAATGGGACTAGTAACTCTTGTTGTGCTAGTAGCAATGTTAATGGGACTAGCAACTCTTGCTGTGCTAGTAGCAATGTTAATGGGACTAGTAACTCTTGTTGTGCTAGTAGCAATGTTAATGGGACTAGTAACTCTTGTTGTGCTAGTAGCAATGTTAATGGGACTAGCAACTCTTGCTGTGCTAGTAGCAATGTTAATGGGACTAGTAACTCTTGTTGTGCTAGTAGCAATGTTAATGGGACTAGCAACTCTTGCTGTGCTAGTAGCAATGTTAATGGGACTAGTAACTCTTGTTGTGCTAGTAGCAATGTTAATGGGACTAGTAACTCTTGTTGTGCTAGTAGCAATACTAGTGGGACTAGTAACTCTTGCTGTGCTAGTAGCAATGTTAATGGGACTAGTAACTCTTGCTGTGCTAGTAGCAATGTTAATGGGACTAGTAACTCTTGCTGTGCTAGTAGCAATGTTAATGGGACTAGTAACTCTTGTTGTGCTAGTAGCAATGTTAATGGGACTAGCAACTCTTGCTGTGCTAGTAGCAATGTTAATGGGACTAGTAACTCTTGTTGTGCTAGTAGCAATGTTAATGGGACTAGCAACTCTTGCTGTGCTAGTAGCAATGTTAATGGGACTAGTAACTCTTGTTGTGCTAGTAGCAATACTAGTGGGACTAGTAACTCTTGCTGTGCTAGTAGCAATGTTAATGGGACTAGTAACTCTTGCTGTGCTAGTAGCAATGTTAATGGGACTAGTAACTCTTGCTGTGCTAGTAGCAATGTTAATGGGACTAGCAACTCTTGCTGTGCTAGTAGCAATGTTAATGGGACTAGTAACTCTTGTTGTGCTAGTAGCAATGTTAATGGGACTAGCAACTCTTGTTGTGCTAGTAGCAATGTTAATGGGACTAGTAACTCTTGTTGTGCTAGTAGCAATGTTAATGGGACTAGTAACTCTTGTTGTGCTAGTAGCAATGTTAATGGGACTAGCAACTCTTGTTGTGCTAGTAGCAATGTTAATGGGACTAGTAACTCTTGCTGTGCTAGTAGCAATGTTAATGGGACTAGCAACTCTTGTTGTGCTAGTAGCAATGTTAATGGGACTAGTAACTCTTGCTGTGCTAGTAGCAATGTTAATGGGACTAGCAACTCTTGTTGTGCTAGTAGCAATGTTAATGGGACTAGTAACTCTTGCTGTGTAGTCACACTGGCTTAGAGCTTTCTCCTCATAGTTACTTTCCTTTCTAGTAATAATAATAGTTGTAGAACACCCCCACCACCACAATAGTTGTAGAACACCACCACCACACAATAGTTGTAGAACACCACCACCACACAATAGTTGTAGAACACCACCACCACACAATAGTTGTAGAACACCACCACCACACAATAGTTGTAGAACACCACCACCACACAATAGTTGTAGAACACCACCACCACACAATAGTTGTAGAACACCACCACCACACAATAGTTGTAGAACACCACCACCACACAATAGTTGTAGAACACCACCACCACACAATAGTTGTAGAACACCACCACCACAATAGTTGTAGAACACCACCACCACACAATAGTTGTAGAACACCCCCACCACACAATAGTTGTAGAACACCACCACCACAATAGTTGTAGAACACCACCACCACACAATAGTTGTAGAACACCTCCACCACAATAGTTGTAGAACACCACCACCACACAATAGTTGTAGAACACCACCACCACACAATAGTTGTTGAACACCCCCACCACACAATAGTTGTAGAACACCACCACCACAATAGTTGTAGAACACCACCACCACACAATAGTTGTAGAATAGTTGTAGAACACCCCCACCACACAATAGTTGTAGAACACCTCCACCACAATAGTTGTAGAACACCACCACCACACAATAGTTGTAGAACACCACCACCACACAATAGTTGTAGAACACCCCCACCACACAATAGTTGTAGAGCATCACCACCACACAATAGTTGTAGAACACCACCACCACACAATAGTTGTAGAACACCACCACCACACAATAGTTGTAGAACACCACCACCACAATAGTTGTAGAACACCACAACAATACAATAGTTGTAGAACACCACAACAATACAATAGTTGTAGAACACCACCACACAATAGTTGTAGAACACCACCACCACAATAGTTGTAGAACACCACCACCACACAATAGTTGTAGAACACCACAACAATACAATAGTTGTAGAACACCACAACAATACAATAGTTGTAGAACACCACAACAATACAATAGTTGTAGAACACCACCACCACCACAATAGTTGTAGAACACCACCACCACACAATAGTTGTAGAACACCACCACCACACAATAGTTGTAGAACACCACCACCACCACAATAGTTGTAGAACACCACCACCACACAATAGTTGTAGAACACCACCACCACCACAATAGTTGTAGAACACCACCACCACACAATAGTTGTAGAACACCTCCACCACAATAGTTGTAGAACACCACCACCACACAATAGTTGTAGAACACCACCACCACACAATAGTTGTAGAACACCACCACCACACAATAGTTGTAGAACACCACCACCACACAATAGTTGTAGAACACCACCACCACACAATAGTTGTAGAACACCTCCACCACAATAGTTGTAGAACACCACCACCACACAATAGTTGTAGAACACCACCACCACACAATAGTTGTAGAACACCACCACCACACAATAGTTGTAGAACACCACCACCACACAATAGTTGTAGAACACCTCCACCACAATAGTTGTAGAACACCACCACCACACAATAGTTGTAGAACACCACCACCACACAATAGTTGTTGAACACCACCACCACCACAATAGTTGTAGAGCATCACCACCACCACAATAGTTGTAGAACACCACCACCACCACAATAGTTGTAGAACACCACCACCACACAATAGTTGTAGAACACCACCACCACACAATAGTTGTAGAACACCACCACCACAATAGTTGTAGAACACCACCACCACACAATAGTTGTAGAACACCACCACCACCACAATAGTTGTAGAACACCACCACCACACAATAGTTGTAGAGCATCACCACCACCACAATAGTTGTAGAGCATCACCACCACACAATAGTTGTAGAACACCACCACCACCACAATAGTTGTTGAACACCACCACCACACAATAGTTGTAGAACACCACCACCACACAATAGTTGTTGAACACCACCACCACCACAATAGTTGTAGAGCATCACCACCACCACAATAGTTGTTGAACACCACCACCACACAATAGTTGTAGAACACCACCACCACACAATAGTTGTAGAACACCACCACCACACAATAGTTGTAGAACACCACCACCACACAATAGTTGTAGAACACTACCACACTCAGCTACCTTCCCTACCTTTTCAACCTTTTTTACCCCTCACCACCTTTCCTATTCTTCATCACTTTTCCTTCATCTCTGTAACCATTTTCACTAAACACTGTTTAATCAATTAATAAACTACCTAAGAAAGCTTGTATTTAATCCAACCCGTCCTCGGACCAAGTCCATTCTATCCAGCAGTCGACTCCTAAGACGCATTCGACAATTTTAACATTCTGTTCATTCAAAACAGAACTTTTCTCAAATATAAATTAGTATTATTATGTATTGGCATATTGTGCATATTTAGGCACTGGTTAGGTTAGGTGTTAAGGTTCTGTTGGCGAGTATTTGTATTTGTCAAATTTCGAACAAAAGTCGTCAGCGAAGCACTTGTTCAGGAAGTGTTCGGACGTCATCAGTTGTGAGTTGTGTGTAAATCGTTTTTCATTCTTAAACAGGGGTTTGGCAGGTGTATGGAACGGACTTTGGGTTTTTGTTTGGAAGATGGTGTCACGCGCCAGTCCCCCTGGCAGTACCAACTGCAGACGTTCCCTGGGTCCTCCTTGGACTCCCTGTCATCGGTTCCGGGGTAGCAGCTCCTGCCCCCGAGCTAGGCCCACTGCTCACAGGTTGGGGCTTCCTCCCCGCGTCCCTTGAGCTCTTGAACCAGGTCACTTCACTGGGTACACTACTCTTGGGAGAGTCCCCGCCCGTCCTCGCTCCTTCTGAACTAAAGTTCCCTTCCGACCTGGGGTCAGATGAATGTCTGGGCGGCCCCTCCCTCCTGAGATGTAGTGCTTCCTCCAACATGTTAGCTCTGACTGCATCAGTCTTAATGTCCTCAATACCTGCTTCTCTCACCGTTACTCGCAACTCAGGCTGAAGCACTGACATAAACTTCTCCATCATTATCAGTCTTTTTTTTTTTTTTGCAGGGATATTCCTGCACGGGCCTTAAGCCTCTGGCTGGCCCACTAAGTGTTGTTTGTTTCTGTTTTACTTGGGCGGAGTATGAGTATTTATGACTCGTACGGTCGCTTCAGTAAGATTTTGCCATATGTGTTTAACAACTTCTGCTCTGTTGAATCTAAGTTGAAATCTTAATGGGTTTGTAACTGATCTCATCTGCCGACTCCGCTTCCTCCGCCTTCAACCATCGTAGGAATTTCCGTTCCATATCCCTGGCGGTCTCGGCGTAAGACTTTCCCGACGCTCTCGTACACTCTCTGAACCGCTTCCGGTACATCTCCGGAGTCAGCCGGAACGAGTGGAGCACCGCATTCTTAATCGCGACGTAACTAGCACACTCCTCTAGGTCCAGCATGTTGTAGGCTTCCCAGGCCTCACCGGTCAACTTGCCCTGGACCAGAGTAGCCCAATCATCTTCCGGCCACTCCTTCAGAGTCGCTATCTGTTCGAAGTGTTCGAAGAACACCTCAGCTTCTTGAGGTTCGAACGTAGGTAAGTCACGTTCCCTTATCCTGAGGTCATCCCACCGTGCAGGTAGTGAGGGCAGCCCACGCTCAACGCGACGCAATTCGACTTCTTTCTTTGCCTTTATCTCCTCCAGTCGCAGTTGTCTCTCTCCTTCTTCTCGCCGCAGCCGAGCTTCACGCTCACGCTCCTCTCACTGCAGCCGAGTTTCACGTTCCTCTCGCTGCGTTTGCCCTTCTCTCTCCTTTCGTCGCAGCTGGGCTTCCAGTTGCATCTTCATTACTTCCAATTGCAGGCTCCTCTTACTACAGCTGGACCTTCCACTGCTCCCATGTTCATTGTGAGTTCTCCCCACACTGGTAGGCGCTTGGGATGGCTCTAGTTGGGACGGTTCACCTTGGGACGACTCATCCTATGTCACCTCTTCTTGTGCTGTGAGGTATGCCATTATTTCTAGCCTACGCTCCGCTACCTTAGTCGTCGTCAATCGGATCCCTAAGTGGCCTGCCACTTGTTGGAGCTGGGCCTTGGTACACTCTTCCAAAACTCTCTCATCCCTCGTCGCAATAAATTTATCCACTTTATCCTCCTCCATCTCAATAATTGAGCTATAGCACTAATATCTCACTGGTTTCACTATTCCAGTCTCTGCACTACTGGGCAACACTGTCACCGTTTACTGAGCTCACTAGCAATGCTGGTCACGACACTGGTAACACTGTATTTGTACTCTGGCAACACTGTCTTCGACTCTCGGCAACACTCTCCGCGAATTCTGGCAACACTGTCCTGAAATCTGGGCAACACTGTAACCTGATTAACGTATCCTGGCCACACTGTAGCCTGATCAACGCATCCTGGCCACACTGTAGCCTGATCAACGCATCCTGGCCACACTGTAGCCTGATCAAGCATCCTGGCAACACTGTAGCCTGATCAAGCATCCTGGCCACACTGTAGCCTGATCAAGCATCCTGGCAACACTGTAGCCTGATCAAGCATCCTGGCAACACTGTAGCCTGATCAAGCATCCTGGCGAGGTCGTCAGTTCTTTCACGCACCGCTCACCTTGGCCTTGTGTTGCATGTGGTTACAGTTAAACAGCGGGGGATCGTGCTACTGATCCTATAACCTCACGCCGTGGGTCTTCGCTCCCTCCACTAGGGTATCACATATCACCCCCAGGGAGCTCTCCTAGTCATGCCTCAAGACCGGCCACCACTATTTGACCTTGGACCCGAGGGGGAGAGGAGAAGGCCCAGCCCACACTGCTAAGCTGAATCCTGCAGTATTTGACTCCCCCACCGGGCCCGCCCACCTATGCGTGCAGAGAATTTGCAGAACTTCCGGCCGTAGCCTCACTTCCACCTCTTACCTTCTGGTCGCCAGCTGGGCCATTCTCTCTGCGTCCCAGCAATGCCGTTAGTTCGAATATAATATTTTTATAGCAGCCTAGGACCGTACTATGTGCTGCTAGTACTAGAATTCAAATGTACAGTCGTGTTGCCAACACAGGGTATCTCTCTAAGTCATGCCAGTAACAGTACAGTATAATCATATGTCATTTATCCACAAAGCTCAGTGAGATGGAGGCTACATCAAAAGCAATAATAACATAAAAGTTTACTCAAAGTAAACTACAAACACACGAGGCACATGTATAGACTTATGGAAATAATAATAATAATGGTGACAGCAGCACTTCTCTGGTGGCCGCCGGCAACTCGCATCAGCTGATCGAGCTGGATCACTGGTTCCCCTAACTGGGGCGACTCCATCAGCAGAGCTCTTCAGTCCTCCACAAGCCGGCCACACGCTGTCTTCACCAATCAGTAAAATTATATATACGTGCTGTCCCACAGCCTAATTTACTCCTATGACTTGTATGCACTCCAGTAGATGCCTAAGAATAAAAATAGGCCTATCTTCCCTAACAATCAAGGGAAAAATGATTTACCTAAACATATCCTGTCCTCAGATGCCTGAGCTCCAGTCGCTGTTCGCTGGGTACTCCGTTCCTCACGTTGTTCCTCAGCGTCACCAGTCCGTAGGCGTTGTGAAGATCCTCGTCATCTCCGTGCTCATTTCCTGAGTGAAGTTCCTGATGCGTTGGCTCGTCCAGTCGTCACTGCACACGTCGTTCCCTCAAGCACTCCTTCACCGAGACCACACACTCAAGGATCAGGATGCATCTTCTCCCTTCTGAGTTCCTAGTGGGCGCGATCCCATCACAACAGCTCTGAATGTTTTGGAGTTCCACTGACGGCGAATCACTCACTCCTCCAGCCGTAGTAACTCTCTCTCAACTTCTTCTCCAAGACTAATCAGCTCACGGTCCACGGCGCCCTTACACTGCTGGAATAGGCTTCCTCGCACTTCCCTGAAGTACTGCAGTCCTTGGTAGTCACTATATACTTGTCAGGCTGTGTATATCCACTTAAGAAGGCTCCTAGACTTCGGAACTCGAGAGCTCGATTGGCGCACGTCTACTCTCAACGAAGCGCCATATATCTCTGACCACCTGGTGCAGTTTTTTTTTTCTTATTATTATTTTCTACCACAGACGTGGCCACACATTTACAATGCTAACCAGCATATATACATTTTCTTCTGTCCTCCATGGACAGGGTTATAGAAGTGTTAAACATATAGTTCAAGTGTTTATTGAACACTCAACCACAGAAGGTGATTCGGTGCTTTTAAAATGCTAAGCTAACCTACATACGTAAATACATAGATACACAGATTTACGTATGCCCTACATAAAGTGTTTGATGTGTCTTTTACATAGTGTCATTAATGTACATTCACAAAGGTGAAATGTAATTCTGATCAGCTTCCATATATACTTTATACTCATACATATACATACACACACATATACATACATATATACACACACATGCATTAACATACATTTGTCTCATTTACTCTGACAGGGTGAGATAGCTGATAAAGAAACTAATGTGCAATTAAGCACTTAATCCCTGAAGGTGATGAAGGTGCTTTTACAAGCTCAGGTTATATAGTTACATCATATATATACATTGTATAATTGATATATTACATGGTCAATCTTGGATACAAGTCCAATATATCATCAAGTGTTCCAGTACTCGTATAGTAATTACAGAGTTCAGCATGCCTTAGCCCAGGAGGGCGAAAGTCAGTCAATATGGGACATTCTACAATATAATGTTCAAGAGAGTGCATGTTTTCTCTTTCACAAAGTTGACACATTGTGTGCTCGACATTTGGGTTTTGAGAAAGCTGCTAGATACGTCTATATCCCAGGCGTATTCTGGCCACTATAATATCACATTGCCGGGTTCTTGTTCTATTAATCCCATATGTGAATGTCTCCTCACGATATCTATCATAATATTTAATGCTACAACTTTCAGGTCTTTGTGAATTTGTTAGGTCTGTGAGATCTTCATTAGATATTTGTTTAAGTATTATCTTTGTCACTGCTAATGAAACACCCATATCAATTTCTACCACTGGTTTTCTGCAGGCTGTCTTTGCAAGCATATCAACAGTGTCATGCCTTGACCTGCCAACATGTGATGGTATCCATAGGAATTAATCTCAAATCTGTTTTCTTTAGCAGCTAAAACATTCATTCGAATATCACTGACTATTTTCTGGGTGTCACTACTATGTGCGTTCAATGCCAGGATTGCATTCTGCGAGTCACAGTATATAAGTCCACTGCCTTTGTCTTTTAAAAATTCAGTGGCAAGGTATATGCCTGCAAGTTCGGTTTGAGTTGTACTTGCCCAGTCATTGACGCGCTTCATTGCTGTATGTACGAGAGAAGATTGTTCAAATATGTTACATGCACATCCGGTACATCGTCCACCTTCTTCTACAGAGCCGTCGGTATAGCACTGATGCACATCGTTACCCGTGCTCTGAGTACTTTCAGTGATGCTTTTCAGCGTTAACTGTTTTAATAATGTAGAGTGCACACTATCTTTCTTGGGCGCATTTACAAAATCAAGCGATAGATCCCAGTTATCCCATGGAGTAATTGGCTGATTAATCATTAGTTGAGTTAGGTACATATTTAATATTTTGATGGAGTTGGCTACCTTGTAGAACCAATATACATAATCAGATTTCGTTCTTCTTCTCTAGACCTCAGGTGAGTGCAGCATATTAGAAAGTTTAGCTTGAAATTTCAAGTGTTGTCTAGATCTATTCAATGCCTTCACGCCGAAAACTGTGCTAATAGACAAAATTAGGTAATTTTAACTCTGTTCTCATATTAACTATTCTCGTGGACTTTGGAGCCCCAAGGATGAGACGTATAGCTTCATTTTGCAAGGTTTCAAGAGATTTCAGCTCTTTGTCAGTATACAGTGAGAGATGTAGAGCATTGTAGTCAATCACAGAGCGTATAAATGATACATAAAACATTCTAGCAAGTCTCACGTTAAGTCCATGATTGACACCAACAAGGACCCGCAAGGGCTTTAATCTCTCCCAAAGTCTCCTCTTGAGAGAAGAAAGGTACCCAGGGTCGTTAATGGGGACACCAAGGTATCTGTAAGACTCGCAGTTCTCAAGTGCTGGTGTTGTTACCCTTACCTTAAGTATATTGCTTTGTTAAGTAAGCAGTTGCATTCATTTCACCCCTAGACACTTATTGAGGCAAGGCCGTATGATATATGTTTACCAACTGCAACAGAGGAACCATACTCAGAGGTCAAGGGCCGTAACATTGACTGGCTAAAAGAAAGCGTACATAGGAATGATGCTAAACCACTTGTATAGAAGAGCGACGGTCTTGCTTCTTGCTGGTCAGCGTTCAATCCCTGATTGAACATGGTCGTCCAAGCGGTTCCGTACCATTCCTTCCCTCTATTTTACCATAAATCATTATCCTCATATCCCTTATATCACACATTCTTAGCATTTTCTCCTGATAATAACCTTACCTGGTAAGTCTTCAGGGACGTATAGCCTCCCCTAAGGTTCAGATGTTACATTAAAACCCGGTTTGTCCATCGGTGTAGATGGTGGTTATTGGGTAGAGAAACTGGAATACCAAAATATTATGTGAGTATTGGGACTAGATTACAGTTGATATGATCAAGGTGACCTTGGACAGTGAGACATTAAAATTTAAATTCAAATTCTTATTCAGGTAAAAGTACATATGTACAATGTACAAAAGTACATTCACATACATAGGTGAAGAGTTACAAACATAATGTTGGATTTATAGATAGAGCTAGTACATACAATACCTAAAGTCACTAATACGCATAGCGTTTCGGGCAAGGTGTGAGGGGGAAAAAAAGACACTTGAGATTAAACTTAATAGTAATTGAGATTAAAGTATAAATTGTGTTGAAAAAAGGAATAAAAAAGGTGGGTGGGGACACGGCAGAAATCAGAAATTGTACAAGTTGGTCAACAAACAGCATAGTTTAAAATAGCAAGACATGGGTCGACATTTAGGGGGTAAGGTAGGTTACATGGAGTTAATTAAGTAGTACTTAGTTTTTCTATTAAACAAGTTGAGAGAGGTTGATGGAATGGTCTTTGACATGATTGGGAAGGTCATTCCATAATCTAGGTCCCTTGATTTGTAGAGTATTTCTATTTTGGTTGAGTCGTACTCTTGGAATATCAAATAGGTATTTGTTTCTGGTGTGGTGCTCATGGGTTCTGTTACAACCTTCTAGGAAGCTTTTAAGGTCAGGATTGACATTACAGTTCAGAGTTTTAAATATATAGAGCACACAAGAGAGAATGTGCACTGACTTAATATATAACATATTCAAAGATTAGAGTAAGGGTACCGAGTGCTGTCTGGGGTCAGAGTTAGATATTGTTCTAATAGCAGCTTTGTGTTGAGTAATTAGAGGACGTAAATGATTTTGGATAGTAGAACCCCAAGCACAAATACCATAATTCAGATAAGGATAGATGAGAGAGTAATAGAGAGTCACCAGGGCAGGGCGAGATACATAATATCTGATCTTAGAAAGAATGTCGACAGTTTTAGAAACTTTTTTTGCTATATTTAGAATGTGTCCCTGGAAATTCAGCTTGTTATCGATGATGTAATAGTACTGAAAACTACCATTGTTGTAATAACCCTTATCCCTACTTCTCTCTACTCTTTCCCTTCATCCATTACCCCAGCTTGACACTGTTACAGTCCAGTATGACCCTTCACTGGACTGCCACGAATTTAAGCTGAATATTAAATAAGGAGTTCACAACAAGAACAGGGGTTATTAATTTATAACTAATAATTAAAATCATTAAACGCCGCCACCACCTTCCCAACCATAAATGAATGTGTCTATATTATTGTTTCCACAGGAAGGGACTCAATAATCATGGAACTCAAAGGGGCGAGTAAATAAATCTTAATG